TAAATCAGTGCGCCGGATAAGAATGTGGCCTCATTTTTTGGAGCCGCCGCTTTCTGGCGCCATTTCGACGTTACAACTTTGTTTGCCTGCTTTCGAAAACTCACCTCATCGGGGCTATTGAGGGTTCTGACCATGAATAATACATCTATTATATTATGGCGTTTATGCAACTTGGAGCCTCGAGATCGAGATCTGGAAGTGCCAACAAGAAACGCAAAAATTTGCGCATCTCGAGGATCCGAACCAGCAACCCCGTCCAACCGTGCCAATTGAAGTCCATATCGCTATCCACTACACCACCGACGCATCCGAATGAGTAGCCAAATGCACCCATGAAACTTCCACACGCTCTTCACTACATAGCATGTCATCACTACGACAACTTTCCAATTTTGGCCAAACTTCGCGTTGTTTTCGATACAGAGCTTGCGAGAACCCTTCGTTATGCAAGCAGTCCACGCCATAAATGAAACAAACCACGGTGAGTGCGTAAAAACTGCAGTTATCCGACGAAATTATTTTCACTCCTTTTTTGGCATTCAGAGGCCATTTAGCGGAAATGGACACAGTTCTGTAATCCATGCACATCCCTCTACATCATGCAAAAAACCGTTTTGAGAAAGCGCGGGTACACCTGAAAGACCTCCCTCGTCAGGATGGTGCCGTTACTGTTCATACACTCTCCACTACTCTGATCTCTTCAGTAGCTCGATGCCGGGCTTTAGCCAGTCTGAAGACGAACTTCTCTGCGTTTCTGCTTTCCAACTTCTCGTACAAGGCGTCCATTTCCGTGTTCTTCGCCTTGGCGACGGCTTTCTTAGCAAGCCTCTTGTAACTCTGGTAGATTTCCAGGTTAGAGCTCCACGCTGACCATTACCTATCAACATGCGCGACGCGACGTCAACTTGTTGAACGTGGAGACCCTTCTCTCCACGATTGATGAAGATGCTCCATTGGTTGTGACGTCTTTCCTCGGGCTTTCAGAATAAGAGCATTAAAACTGTATCCGTAGCACTTACTCGGAACTTGTTGCTCTGTAGTGATTTAGGATTGATTACCTTCCATTTCGGAAGGCGAGAAGAACGTCGAGTGCAGACCACACACCACAAGTGACGACGGCCAGGAAAGTTTCTCTCGGCCGTCGTCACTTGTGGTGTGTGGTCTGCACTCGACGCTCTTCTCGTCTTCCGAAATAGAGGGTACCTGAGTGGGGAGGCGGTCATATGGCGCGATCCCATTGGCATTAGAGCGCACAGGCCGCAATTGAACCATCCTGCTGCGCCGGACAACTCGTCCGTATCACTCAACTACTAGACTTCAGTAATTGATCGATCTGATAATTTCGGTCCTCTCTGAGCCCAAAGATCTAAAAAGAGCGGATAGCTTCGCTGGCCTGATGCCAAGGCAAGAGGAACGGAACAGAATGTGTTGCGCGGACGAGTTGTCCGGCCACAGCAGGATGTGGTAATTACGGCCTGTGCGCTCCAATGCCAATGGGATCGCGCCATATGACATACACCCCCTGAGTGTATTGTATGAAAGGTTAGTGACACTGTGCGCGAAATGCGAACGCGCGATTTGAGCCGTTTTCTGTGTCCAACACTGCTATGGTGAGCTCAATAAATTACCACGGCATTTTTGTTTGGTTCTGTGAGGTTTTGATCACTTATTTGTGTGTATTTAGAAGCGATTCGTGATGCGCAAATCTCGTGGCTCACCAAGCTGAAGGATCCGCTGGCTGTCCATCGCTTGTATTCTGATCTCATCTCCATGTATCCTGATCATTTGCCATTGTTGTTGACCAAGTTGAAAATTCTTGCAGATAAGAAGGTGAACATTTCTATTCGTGTTCACAGTTAACTCGTGCAGCATCTATCATGTGAATTGTGTTCAGCGCTCGCAGACAGAAGACGAGACCATGGCCTTGGTTATCCAGCATATTCTTGAGCTCTGCCATCCGGATGATGTGCTCAAGTACATGGGTTCTCATCACGGGGATCACAGTGTCGAACATGTGACTATGAAGAAGTGAGTGAATGACCTTTTGCGTTTTGTTGGAATCCTTTTTTAACATGTATGTAGTCAATCGTATGGGGCGGACAACAGGTAATTGAGGTCGTGAAACTGGAGGAGATCGACGGATGAAGCCCCGCGGCACTCAAGCGATTAGCTATTGATCACACCGGAGAGAGTATCCCTGCAACCTGTTAGTAGACATCTATCAATACTGTCCTTCTTTGGTCACCTTTTGGCGTTTGATTGCGCTTTGCCTATTCTTAAATGGGTTAACAATGACAGCAGCTTGTCTGGCTGCGCTACCCCGCACAACAAACGGCGCTCGACCGAAAAGCTATCGGAACTTCCGATTTCTGCTCCGCCCACTTCGCCGCACGCTCCGCCTACTTGGGCATCCGGCCTCCATACATCGACAGCCTTTCATTCCTTATTCCTCCCTAACACATCCTAGGTCTGAGATGGGAATTTTGTTGAAGGTATCGCTCAAAGAGGCGTTGTGGGTGGCGCCCCGCTTATTCCTGTTATTGGACACATTGTTCCTCTCCGTGAAATTTTCCCTCCCTGGACTTTGTCACAGCTGATTCATAGCTTTGTGTGCTAAATAACGCTTACCTAGAGGTGCACCACCCAGTAAGAGTGAACACCGATCAACTTGCTTCATCTGGAACCCACTGTTCACGTTCTCCTTTCAATGTGACCAAATAACGATTTTTGACTTCCCGATTTCCGGAGTGGCTGGTGCTCGGCTCGGTTTACGAGCGCTGCGACTGTCTTGGTTCATGCCTCACTCTTTTCAATCTGTACCAAGTTTTTGTGAATGGTTCTTCAGACAACAACGAACTTCGTGACAACAGACGGGCGCCACAAACAGTCCAGACAATTATGCTTAGTGAGGATGTATGTGTTCGAATATTTCTTTTCCTTTAAGAGAGATGG